GTTACTCTTTGGGTAAAAAATGAGTAGGTCGAGACATACTCAAAATCAAAGAGTATATACTCTGACTATATACTCTCATACTCAAAGAGTATCTATGAGTATGAGAGTATGTCGAGACATACTCATTTTCGAAATGAGTGAGTATGAGAGTATATACTCGCGAATTCACCCACCTGTATCTAAAATGATTTATTTACGTAAGATTTACGAATTGAAACCGAAATATATTCAGTTTCCATCAAGATAATCCCATTTTTTGTCGAAAAATGCCATTTTTTCAATCGTACCCAAACTTTTGATCGGCACTGTACATATAGACAGCTTCACGACTATTTTTAAATTTCAATGAATGTACACACAAAGATAAGTACCTGAAATCTGGGATACATAAAACAGAAAAAAATTCGGCACAACTTTACTTTACAGAACTATTTGGAATATGAATATTTTTTTGATTTTCTTTTTGCTCTAGATTGCTAATGGTCACTACATTTCATTTCTAGGGTGCGATCACACCTGTCAAAAAATAACGGTGAATCATAAAATTGCAAATCGCACCCTAGAAATGAAATACAGTGACCATAAGCAATCTAGAGCAAATAGAAAATCAAAAAAATATTCATGTTCCAAATAGTTCTGTAAAGTAAAGTAAAGCCAAAAATTCTGTCACTGTCGCATTTTGCACCAACACAACCTATATCTATGGGTAAAATTGAGAGTATTGTATGTTTCACAGACTTTATATTGGAAAAATTATTTGTATTTGTATTTGTGTGAGTAAGTTAGAGTAGGTGTTCAAGCAGTGAGCAAATCTTCTAATTTTTATTTTATTTTATTTAACACCGCCAAGCTCTGGCTGAATATATTGTAATGAATAGAGGTGTGGCCGTAAAAGAGTGCAAGACTGTTACATCAATTTGTATTTGGTTACAATGATTTATAATAACAATAACTATCAGTTCTCGCCTCGTTAAAAACCTGACTCTTTTCGTAATCTTATCAGCATTTACACAAATGGGACATGGAAACAAAAACACAGTCATACAACCAAGATGGAAATGCTTGATAGTAGTAGTCAGATAGTAAACGCTCCAAAATAACCTTTGGTAAACGTTTCCAAAGGGACAAAGGCTATTGAAGCGTTAACTGTTACGCGTTTGATTAGAGACTTTGGACTGAAAAAGTCGTCACTCAATCTATACAGTTGATAAATTGACGAGAGTTTTACGTCGGTTGGGCAGATCCATGTTGATTATAGAGTGGCTTGAGTTTATCATTGAACCATGATTTGAAACATAACAGAGCATTCAATGCTATAAAGCAGTTAATTCAAAATTGAATAGAATTTGCGAAAATAACCCGCCAACTCAACGGATGGCTGTAACACTGAACAATATCAATTTAAAATATATAGGTGTAAAGATCACAGAAAGGTATCATCATTTCTATACATAAATGGGAATGTATGTAAACAATTCGTCAACTTTTTAAATTAAAAATGTGTGTTATCGAATAAGACGATTAGCTGAGTTTCGAACGGGTGGTTTGAATTTGGGATCCTTGCCACGTTCATGTTGGTTTTTTTTAATCAGCTGCATCCCAGTCACAGAGTGGTACAAGAGCAATATGCTGCGTTGTCATTGGTGGTTCCGTCCTGGTAGAGATCATGCTCGGGTTTTATGGTAACATGAAAATTCGTAATTCCATAATTAGTGTGGGTAGTATCAACGTGTTCTCGTAGAGAACATATACAAAAAATGAGGTTACCTGGATGAGAAATTGCTTGAGTGGCCAGGTAATCATTTGAGTTTGCATAGCGAACCAAAAGTGTTGTCCGTCATTCTGCGAACTTATGATGCAAAATTCGCCTTCGAGGTAGCTGCTGTGAACAGTTCCGGCACCATGTTCGCCATTTTGCACATTTGGGGAATTTGAGCTTCGCGCACTAGCCTCATGTGTTTGTATAATTCATTTATTTCAACTGATTAACGATCATTGTCTTTTGCAAAGTTGTACAGTTTGACAAGACCAACAATTGAGTTTATCCAAATTTGTACACATATTGGCTAGAAAATGAAATGGGGTGAAGTTGGTGCTCTATATATATGAAGTGGGATTTTGCATGCAATTATCCCTTTACGTACATCATACCTTTAGTGCAAAAGCATTTATTGCCCTCCCTAACGCGAACGTCCCATCTATTCGGTGCGAACATGAAAACAAGCAAAGTGACTCCACCTGCCAACCGATATATGAATCGGTGAGAATAGAGGCAGTGTATAAAAAATGTGCCGAACAAAACGAACTACAGCGTTTCCTCTACATAGAGATGTTATTGTATTATAACTCTGTATGGATCAATTTGTTTGTTTTCATATTAAAACCGAACAGATGGTGCTCGCGTAAGGTAGGGCAATGAATGCTTTTGCACTAAATGACGTGCATAAATCTTCAGTAGATTATAATCAAGAAAAAGAGTTCTTTCTGCATTGACGTCTGACGCCGTATCAAGAAAAATTGAACCCATCCGCGTAGACTCTATACTCTAGAGTGAACCAAATTCTTCTTTCACTCGAAAGTGAACAAGAGCAACCAAAACCAGAGATGGAGTAAATGTATATCAATTCGTTGAATTTACTGTACTCGGTACAGTACGGTATATTTACATTGATTTACCTTTGCGTTAAATAACGCGTCCGCTCTCACTAAAATATGAGTTGACGCATGTGCTCCGCGCGTTCAACGCAAAGGTAAACGTTTAAGTATATACCGATACACATTTCCATACACTTGGGGTAAACGATCAACCATCTCTGACCAAAACTGTTCAAACCAGATTGAAATTTAGATTATTTTTTATCATCTTTTCTGTATAATTTATTTTCATTCTTAGATTTTGCCTACTGCATTAGACTCATACAAATCGCGTTCAAATTTAGCACGGATGTACGTTTGGGTCACAAAAATGCAATGTAAGCAATTAAAAAGACAAATAACTTGAGCTGTTTTTTGACAGAATAATAATAATCGATGGTCCAACAAAGCAACAATATTGGTTAGTATGGCCAATTGGCCATAGATTGACAAAAAATGTTTTGAAATCAAGTCTACACTACAATCAAAAAGGAGAACCGAAGGAAATCATCCGATTATTCAGCTAAATTGGTTCAGCTATTCGTCACCTGAAAAATACACATCGATCAAAAAGATCGAACCAATTTCTTATATGTATTGTGAAAAAAAATATGCAACATTACCATTGTTAGTAGCCAATTGAATCTATTCTATTAGCCAATTATTATATTTTTGGACAAAAAGTTCGGCGATCTCTTCGTGACCTAAAATTAATACAGATCAATGAAAAAGATCCAATTGATATCTTATACAGTGGAACAGCCCCAAAAGAACTTGACCGTGACTATATGGGGATGAAAGTAGACCCATAGCTGAGTAAAACCCCAGTGGGGTTTTGCCGAATTGGCTGGGGTTTTTATTTTATCGACTTAGGCGTTTTTTCTATAACATGGTTTTTCGGCAATATAGACTACGTCAGATTTTGGTCAATAAATCGTTCATTTCTGGTGATAGCGTCTTACTGTCTTTAGCAGATTTGTAGCTGGGAGTCCAATAAACAAATTTTATTAACATTTTACACATACAAAATCACATCTAGTAGGTGCAATGGAGCAAAATGTCGGAAAAATGGACGATTTTTTCAATTTTTCGACCATAACTCATAAAATATCCATTTTTTTGTATTTTGTCTTCGGCATTATTGTAGCCAGCGTCAAACTAAACAACTCTTCTGAACACATTATCCCAAAAAAATCACATCTAGCCTACTTTTTTGGCTCAAAGTCACTTGTCGCTACCAAACGATATCATCGAGCATTTTCGGAGTTCTATAACTTCTCAACTACTCAAAATAGAGCAATAGTTTCTGAAGCAACTTTTTAGTACTTCTCATGGGCTTCGCAGACCAAGTACTAAAAGTACTAAAAAAGTACTAAAATGTACTAAAAAGTACTAAATCCTCTCAATGGTTCTGGACACCTGTAGGTGATGCTACGTAGTACTAAATAGTACTAAAATTGACAGAATTGAACTGTTACAGACCCTCATGAACGTAACTCGCTGAAATATCGGTATTTAGTTCAATATTGACCCCGTACATCTCGTGGATTTTTCAGCTGTTTGGACTGTAATATTTTCAAAGTTTATCCAAATATTTCAGCGAGTAACGTTCATTAGGGTCTATAACAGTTCAATTCTGTCAATTTTAGTACTATTTAGTACTACGTAGCATCATCCACAGTTGTCCAGAACCATTGAGAGGATTTAGTACTTTTTAGTACATTTTAGTACTCTTTTAGTACTTTTAGTACTTGGTCTGCAAAGCCCATAAGAAGTACTAAAAATTTGCTTCAGACACTTTTGCTCTATTTCGAGTAGTTGAGAAGTTATAGAACTCCGAAAATGCTCGATGATATCATTTGGTAGCGACAAGTGACTTTGAGCCAAAAAAGTGAGCTAGATTTGATTTTTTTGGGTTAATGTGTTCAGGAGAGTTGTTTAGTTCGACGCTGGCTACAATAATGCTGAAGACAAAATACAAAAAAAAATGGATATTTTATGAGTTATGGTCGAAAAATTGAAAAAATCGTCCATTTTTTCGACATTTTGCTCCACAGCACCTACTAGATGTGATTTTTCATGTGTAAAATGTTCATAAAATTTGTTGATTGGACTCTCAGCTACAACTTTGCCAAAGACAGTAAGACGCTATCACCAGAAATGAATGATTTATTGACCAAAATCTGACGTAGTCTATATTGCCGAAAAACCATGTTATAGAAAAAACGCCTAAGTCGATAAAATAAAAACCCCAGCCAATTCGGCAAAACCCCGCTGGGGTTTTACTCAGCTATGGGTCTACTTTCATCCCCATATAGTCACGGTCAAGTTCTTTCGAACTTTTTGGAAATTGTTCCACGGTGTATTTAGTCAGCTTTACCATTGTTAATAGCTAACTGATAAGGAGTCTGATTCAAATTATTTTTATCAAGAAATTTTGCTCCTTCACGGATGAGAAGTTCAGCGACACTCTGATGACCTAAACAGAAATTTAGATGGATGAAAATGATCAAATCAATCTTCTTCTAATAAAGACAAGTATTCAACTATTACCATTCTGAGCAGCTAAATGAAGAGGTGTCCATTTCATATTAGTTTCAGCATTAACATTGGCTCCTTTACGGATGAGAAGTTCAGCAACATTCTCATGACCTGAAAAATAACACAGATCGATGAAAAAATAAAACTTTTTTCCTTTTTAGTGAGAACAAATAATCAACATTACCACAGAATGCAGCTGAATGAAGAGGTGTCCATTTCTTGTCATTTTCACTATCAACATTGGCTCCATTGTGGATAAGAAGCTCGGCGATACTCTTGTGACCTGAACAATAAAACCGATCGATGGGAAAATATCGGGTCAATCTTTTATTCAATAACAATAAGTATTCAACGTTACCTTTCATAGCAGCATAATCCAGAGCTGTCACATTAAAATTATTTCTAATATTGGGGTCGGCTCCTAAAGCGATGAGGCTTTGAACAAAATTCGAATTGCCTGGAAGAATAAGAAAAATATTCATAGGTCAATGAAACGGATTTAACAAAACGTTCTTTTAAAAAACATGTCCAAAATTACCAACAGAAGCAGCTCTATGCAGAGCTGTCTCTCCATTCTTGTCTTTTTCGTTTACTAAAATATGTATGAAAAGTTTAGCATAAATGAGGTTGCCATATCTTCGTTACAAGGTGCTTTGTATATGGAATTTAAGAGTTTGACTGGATAAATAAATGAAACTTCAATCTTACCGTGCCACTCGCGTGGTGCTCCCCTCCCACGTGGTGCTCCACTCACATCCCCGATTAAGAACTGTGGAAACAGAATCAAAGTGATACAATTGGAATGGGAACAGCGGATAAGATTAATTATAAATGTATTAATAACAGTTTCCAACTGTTTTTAATAGAATAAATGTTTTCGGTGGACATTTTTTTGGAATAGAACTTTGTTTTCAATTGAAAAACTTAAAAAGGACACTTTTCATTTTTGAAATTATTTCAGAAAAAATTATCACAAATTGTTCACAAAAGGAATCAAACATGAAAAATTGAAAAAATCGACTGAAACTGTCGACTCACCTCGGATACCACCAAGCCAATGAGCAGCAGTGTTAAAGAACTTCGACTCAGCATTTTTCCAGCTTTGAACTATTAAAAGTTTACTGTGAACTTATCAATTGGTAGGAACTGTTTGATGGACACACGAATCGAATGCATCCTCTTATATACTTTTCAAGTGTGGCCACGTCGGTGGGCAACACACTGTATAATTCAATCCACGTACAATGACGATTCTAATTAAACTCCACAAAATATTATCGCACACATTTTTCAAAATAAAAATGTCAAAACAATTGATGGAATTACAATTCCTCCTGTGCACGTGTGTTTAATTTGGCGTTCCACATCAAATGGATCGCATTGAAAATATCAGATGTTTACATTTATTCTTTCATCACCTTCATTATGGTCTGAAAAACAACGCAATTGAGTTGAAAATTTAAGTAAATATTTTTCACTCTTGAAATAATGAGTGGTGTTTTTTGACGAGGCTATTTAAATATGAAAATGTTTACATCTTCTCGGTATGTACAAAACACACTCCGTTGCAAAGTCGTTTCAAAGTTAAAAAATAACCACAGATGGATCGTCGTTTACATGCCGTTACAAAATAAATGTTTGAAAGCACCACATATCGCTGACAACAAACCACTTTTGAGGTGATATTCCATGACAGCTACATTTTTATGGTGTAAAGTACCTCACAGAAGCCTCCTGTCGGAGTACGGAATCATATTTACTTTACATCACCAAATAAGGTGAATACTGAATACGTTGAAAAAAGACATAAGCGAATCTCATACGAAACCAGAGCCGTACTTAATAACATTTTCCATATACAGTGCCGATCAAAAGTTTGGGTACGATTGAAAAAATTGTTTGCAGCATAAAACTGATAACAGGAAGATGTTTTTGACAGAGTTTTCAATTATCATTTTTTGCGTAACTGATAAGAGATAAGTGATAACTGTCATAAGCAAAGTTGAAGAACAGATTGAGTACAATATTTTTGCCCCAGACACTAATTCGTTATCCTTTATCAGGAACTCAAAAAACCGCAAAAATTTCGAGTTTTCTTTTATCATTTTTCGCGGGACTGATGAGAGATAAGGAGATGACGTCTTCAAAAAAAAACTGTAGCTCTTGACCTGATCTACAACTTTGCTGAAGACAGTTATCACTTATCTTTTATCACTCAGACAGAATTTAGCGGAACAATGATTCCGATTTATCGGAATTAAAACCAAACGGAATGATAAATCGGAACAAATGTTCCGAGATTCCGATTTATCGGTATTCTTTAATGTAAAATAGTTTTTAAAAAAACAATTTTAAATTATCGCGTCTATCATTATTGATGTTCGACATTCGTCGATACAATTGACAGCGTGCAAAAATGGAAACTACTCTATTCTTTTTCTATCGTATTCATAACTCATGCGGTAGCATATTATTTGCATTCTTTCTCTTCGCCTATTCTTCGTGTGATGTGCTGCTGACTTACTGTGTACTGCTGTGTACTGTGTACTGTATGTATATTACTCGATCTCTTTCTCTCTCCCAGCACTAGGGTTTAAAAACGCGTTATTTTTTTCAGTGTTTCTTAAAAACGTTTTTTTACAGAGCCGTTATATAACGCCCAAAAAACGTTTTTTTCGTTTTTTATCGTTATTTCTGCGGTATTTTGGACTGTCAAAAAAAACACTACAGAAAAATAACGTTTTTATAACACCGTTTGCGGTATTTGTCGAAACGTTTGTAAACCCTACCCAGCACACTCCGTTCTTGCGATGTGCATGCAATAGTAATGAAAAAAGAGATGCTACTACACGCACACCGCAAGATCGGCCTGTATTACGAAGAGAGAAAGAGATCGAGTAATATACATACAGTACACAGTACACAGCAGTACACAGTAAGTCAGCAGCACATCAAACTGGAAGAAGTTCAACGATTTTGTGGACCTGAAATTCAATGAGCTACAGATTCCAATCCATTCTAATCTGTGTGTTGATCAAATAGACGTTTTATGTGAAAAAATCGAAGATATTTTTCAGAGCGCTGTCGCGAGGTTCGTACCACAAGTGGAATTTTCCAGGTCAAATGTGCAGTTATCAAAAAAATCGCTAAACTTAATTCGAGAAAAAAAAAGACTAATGCGCAAAAAGTATCGAAATAGAAATAATCAAAACTTTAACCAAATAAAATCGCAACTAAAATTACTAAACCAATTGCTCGTTAAATCAATAAGCGGCGATTATCATGATTGCTGGACAAATCGAATAAAAAACATCAAACCTGATAATAGCTTGTTTAAAAACATAAAGCAAATTAGCAAATATAAAAAGATTACTGAAGCTACATCAAATCTGTACAACAGTGATAAAAGTGAAGTTTTCTCGACGACCCAACAAAAATGTGAAGCCCTAGCAAACCATTTTACCAAATCACATGAGCTCACGCTAAACAACATCTCCAGCGTCGACAACGAGGTGAGTCGAGTCTGTGCCATGTATGAAAACAACGAACCAATCACCATCTTCTCAACGAATTTCCCGGCCGATTGCAACAACTTCGAACACAACGCAGTGATTGAAAACCGATTTGCGAGAGTCTCTGACGTTCAGAAGATAATTAAATCACGTAACAATAAAAAATCCGCTGGTGATGACACGATGCCAAACTACGCACTGAAGAAGTTATCTCTCACAACTATTTACTGGATAACAGTTCTTTTTAACCACATAACAAACACACAACATTTTCCAACAAAATGGAAACTAGCATCTGTTACACCGATACCGAAGCCCGGCAAAAACAGCGAATTTTTAGCAAACTGGAGACCGATATCTCAACTTCCCACTATCAGCAAATGCTACGAAAAGCTGATCGACACTCGAATAAGAGACTTTTGCACTCAAAATCGCATCATCGACCAACACCAGTTTGGCTTTCAACCAGGATGCAGCACTCTACACGCTATCTCAAAAGTAATCACCGATGTATCAAACGGCCTAAACAAAGGAAAACCAACCCTAGCAACACTCATTGATCTACAGTCAGCCTTCGACGTGATGTGGCAGAATGGAATGATTTACAAATTACACCACTTAAAATTCGAACCTCATATAATAAAAATTGTTAAAAGTTTCCTCTCAAACAGAAAATTCTTTGTAAAATATGAACAAGAAAAATCCACAGTTAAGAATATAGCAGCAGGTACTCCGCAGGGTAGCATTATCTCAGCTATACTTTTCATACTATACTTAAACGACCTACCCAAACCATCAAATTTCTTTTGTAAAATAGTTAGATTACTTTTTGCAGACGACATAATGATTTACACAGTCACGAGGAACATACAACTCGCTAAAATGTCAATGAACAATTATTTAAATGAAATTTACAAATTTCTCACAAAATGGAAACTAAAAATGAATGTCAGCAAATGTGAATGTATATCGTTTGTTGGCCATTACAAAGACTTAGACGCGAAAACAAGAAAAGAAGCCATAGCGACTAATTTCAAAATAAATAATCAACAAATTAATAAAGTTAAGAATGTGAAATATTTAGGGCTCGTACTGTCTAGCAACTGGCAATTTAACGACCATATTAAGCACATAATAAAAAAAGTAAATATCGCTCAATCCATGCTGTCGAACATTTTCTCGAACAAATATCTGATCAACAATGTTAAAATAATCGCATATAAACAATTGATACGCCCCCTTATGACATATGCTTCCCCTTGCTGGCTCATTGAAAATCTAATAAGTTCTTTTCAAATTGAAATCTTGAGGCGTAAAGAAAGGTGGTTTCTCAGAAAATGCCTGAATATTTTTAAACAAGAAAACAGCCACAAATATGTAAAAAGTAATGAACTTTACGAAAAAGCAAAAATAAATAGAATCGATAGAGAGATAGTCAAAAACAATATAAGTTTTGTCGACAAATGCAAAATTCACACAAATGAACTCATTTCCGAAATTTCCAACGCACATATGCATGACATTGACACAATCAAATACAAACCAATCAATTACTATAATCATTTGAACGATGTAAACAGACTACATGAGAACGAATTATTATTACTGTTCAACAAGAAAAAGTTTCACCCAACCCAAAATGTTTATGTACAAGCTCAGAATTCTTCTAATTTTTAAATATTTTTCAGAATTTATAAATTTTTTTTCAATTACTAATTACAATTTTGTAACCACTTGTTTTTAAGCTTAAATTAATACACAATCCCATGTCAAATTATAAATTTATTTAAACACAATATTGCCAAGCAATTCACAAACATTCAAATTCGTATTTTAGATAAGGGTAGGATTACCTGCTAAATTGTATTTATTAAATCATTATATTGATAGTATTTTTTCTATTTCTTTTGTACTCTATACAAAAACAAATATCCAAATAAATAAAAGATTATAAAAAAAAAAAAAAAGAGTAATATACATACAAACAAAGCAGTACACAGTAAGTCAGACATGAATTTTATATGAAACTTTTCTTCGCAATTTTTTTGAAAAGTTTCATACAAAAAACATGTCAAATATTTCCAGACTCGTTTTTCTTTGAGATTTTGTCGTGATAAATGATTGTCTTAATCTAAACGCTGTGTTGAATAGACTTTGATGTGAACATGATGTCGTCCGTTGATAAAATCGGATGAAATCCAATATGTTGTCGAATTTATTAGAATTCTAATAAAATCGGCACCATATTAATAACCGAAAATTCACCATACTAAGGTAATGTCTTCATGAATGGGACAAACTTTGAGATAACTTTGTAACTTTCCCTTTTGGAGATATTTTTGTGAATGTGATATACCGTTGGAAAGAGGACCATCAAAGGAATCTTTTTTCCTTAGACAGTTCTTCGATTACATTACAAAAAAAATTTATCGCAAAATTTCCGACCACGCCAAAAACGGCCAAATTTTTTTTTGTCTTCTTGAATGGGACACTCCAAAAAACTCAGAAATATGTGTGAAAATCAACGGTCCTATTCTTTTTGACTTTGACAACTGATATTGAGCGCAAACACCACCTAGATAATCTAAGGCTAATGACAATACAATCAAGTACACTCTCCGTTCTGTCAAACGTCATACTGAAGTATAACATACAGACATAACGAATTCGCCATCGGTTCTTCGGTCAACCGAGTTCCAAGCAAATACATGTATCAGTATACAAAGCATTCCACGTTTGGTGAAAATGGAACAATATCCATATCATATTTTGAATGTTTATTCATTTAATCGACTTAAGGATTATAATAAGTGACAAAAGTAAAGAAAAATGATGTTTATTCGTCGCTTTCTTGGTCTTCGACTGCGTCAGAAATTTCATTTTGTAGTTCAGCCCATTTGGGCATACCTACACTTTATTGAAGCCAAAAATGATTTATTTTTCTTCTATGGTGTGGCTGAGGTCGAGTATGTTTCAAATATATGCAAATTTTTTCCGCACCCCCTGTGTATCCAAAAAGGGCGACCATAAAAATCAGGGTATTAACACCAAAGGTCATATCTCCCCAGCCATGGGAAGAAGGGCACTGCGCCTTGGGTCAAAATTTTAGTACTCGTAAATACCTATCCAACGGTATACATAACATTTACATTTGTCTACATTATATTCGAAAAACCGTTACAAGAAAAAAATTAAATTTGTTGGTAAAAAAAGTAAGTTTATCCCCATTTTCTGGGCCAATGGATGGATTTATCGTTGGGGAGTGTTGATGAAAGTTGTAGACATGAAAGTTTCAACTCACGAGGAACAATTTTGCTGTGGACCATTTTGCCCCATCTTGCTTAACTTAAAAATACACTGTGTCCTATTCAAGAAGACATCTTTGTCCCATTCAAGAAACTGGCCGCCATTTTTGTGAGTCATCACAAAAAAAATTTATGACGCGATATCGAAAAATGGACTTTGCAGCTTTGAAATAGACACAATTTACTAACTATTCAATATGTTAAAAACACTTCAAACTGTAGGTGTGTGGAAATAGTTCAAAAAAATTTTTTTTTTGGAAAATTTCAGACAATATCATTTCACAAACAAGCGATGCGCCTATTCTCTTCGGAATACTACCAAAAGTGAGCGTTCGTTGAGCTAATCGTTTGGTATTAATGACATCTCGCTGCTACTGTCAGATGTCAAAAATAGACTGTCATGAAGACATTACCTTAATAATTATTAATATGTTAATAAAATGCACTATATTTTATTAACGTTAATAAAAAATTCATTTTATTAAAAAATTAATAAATTATTAATGTGTTAATAAAAAAATATGTTAATAAAGTGACAGTTGTAAATCGAAAAGGGGAACCGAAGGAGATCATCCGATTATTCACTAAATTGGTTCAGCTATTCGTCACCTGAAAAATACACATCGATCAAAAAGATCAAACCAATTTCTTATATGTATCGTGAAAAAAAATGTTCTGCAATATTATTTTTATTTTTTTTACCGATCAAAAGTTTGGCGACCTTGTTGTGACCTAAAAATAATACAAATCAATGAAAAAGATCAAATCGATATCTTATTTAGTCAGCTTTACCATTGTTAATAGCTACTTGACGAGGAGTCTGATTCGAATTATTTTTTACATTAACATTTGCTCCTTTACGGATGAGAAGTCTAGCGACACTCTCATGACCTAAAAAGTAATTTAGATCGATGAAAATGATCAAATCTTCTTTTAGTAAAGACAAGTATTCAACTATTACCATTCTGAGCAGCCAAATGAAGAGGTGTGTTTTTCGAATCAGTTTCCTTATGAACATTGGCTCCTTTACGGATGAGATAATCAGCAACATTCTTGTGACCTGAAAAATAACACAGATCGATGAAAAAATAAAACTGTTTCCCTTTTTAGTGAGAACAAATAATCAACATTACCACAGAATGCGGCTGAATGAAGAGGTGTCCATTTCGTATTAGGTTCAGCATCAACATTGGCTCCATTGTGGACGAGATGTTCGGCGATACTCTTGTGACCTGAACAATAAAACCGATCGATGGGAAAAATTCAGGTCAATATTTTATTCAATAACAATAAGTATTCAACGTTACCTTTCATAGCAGCATGATCCAGAGCTGTCACATTAAAATTATTTCTAATATTGGGGTCGACTCCTTCAGCGATGAGTCTTTGAACTAAACTCGAATTGCCTGAAAGAATAGGAAAAATATTCATAGGTCAATGAAACGGATTGAACAAAGCGTTCTTTTAAAAAACATGTCCAAAATTACCAGCATAAGCAGCTCTATGCAGAGCTGTCTCTCCATCTATGTCTTTTTCGTTTACTAAAATATGTATGAAAAGTTTAGCATAAATGAGGTTCCCATATCTTCGTTACAAGGTGCTTTGTATATGGAATTTTAGAGTTTAACAGGATAAATAAATGAAACTTCAATCTTACCGTTCCTCCTGGGTGGTGCTCCACTCACATCCCCGATTAAGAACTGTGGAAACAGAATCAAAGTGATACAATTGGAATGGGAACAGCGGATGAGATTAATTATAAATGTATTAATAACAGTTTCCAACTGTTTTTAATAGAATGAACGTTTCCGGTGGACATTGTTTTGGAATAGAAGTTTGTTTTCAATTGAAAAACTTAAAAAGGATACTTTTCATTTTTGAAATTATTTCAGAAAAAATTATCACAAATTGTCCACAAAAGGAATCAAACATGAAAAATTTAAAAAAAAATCGACTGAAATTGTCGACTCACCTCGGATACCACCAAGCCAATGAGCAGCAGTGTTAAAGAACTTCGACCCAGCATTTTTCCAGCTTTGAACTAATAAAAGTTTACTGTGAACTTATCAATTGGTAGGAACTGTTTGATGGACATACGAATCGAATGCATCCTCTTATATACTTTTCAAGTGTGGCCACGTCGGAGGGCAACACACTGTATAATTCAATCCACGTACAATGATGATTTTAATTAAACTCCACAAAATATTATCGCACACATTTTTCAAAATAACAATGTCAAAACAATTGATGGAATTACAATTCCACCTGTGCACGTGTGTTTAATTTCACGTTTCACCAATGACGATTCTAATTAAAGTCCACGAAATATTATCGCACACAATTTTCAAAATAAAAATGTCAAAACAATTGATGGAATTACAATTCCACCTGTGCACGTGTGTTTAATTTGGCGTTCTACATCGAATGGATCGCATTGAAAATATCAGATGTTTACATTTATTCTTTCATCACCTTCATTATGGTCTGGAAAACAACGCAATTGAATTGAAATTTAAGTAAATATTCTTCACTCTTGGAATGATGAGTGGTGTTTTTTTGACGAGGCTTTTTGAATATGAAAATGTTTACATCTTCTCAGTATGTACAAAACACACTCCGTTCCAAAGTCGTTTCAAAGTTAAAAAATAACCACAGATGGATCGTCGTTTACATGCCGTTACAAAATAAATGTTTGAAAGCACCACATATCGCTGACAACAAACCACTTTTGAGGTGATATTCCATGACAGCTACATTTTTGTGGTGTAAAGTACCTCACAAAGGCTTTAAAGTACGGAATCATATTTACTTTACATCACAAAATAAGGTGAATACTGAATATGAAGCGAATCTCATACGAAACCAGAGCCGTACTTAGTAACACTTTCCATATACAGTGCCGATCAAAAGTTTGGGTACGATCGAAAAAATGGAATTTTTCGACAAAAAATGGGATTATTTTGGTAAAAACTAAATATATTTCGGTTTCAATTCGTAAATCTTACGGAAATAAATCGTTTTAGACTTAAAATGTAGGATTTTATTGGATTGGTTTGAGAAATTTGATCAAAAAATAGTAAAAATTGAGTTCATTTTTCCGAGAATGAAAACGCAACTTCTATTGACAACACATATAAGTGACACAAAAATAAAAAATTTATTGAAATGAAACAACACAACCGTATTTTTTCAAAGTGTAACAACAAAAAAGATTTTTTTAAAGTGTAACATCGGTATGAAACAACGGTATGAACACTTTGAAAAAATTCGATTTTGTTGTTTCATTCCAATAAATTTCTTATTTTTGTTTCACTTATATGTGTTGTGAATAGAAGTTGCGTTTTCATTCTCAGACATTCATATATAACTCATATATTGACTATAACTCATATTGACAGGTCAGAAAAATCTTGCGCTCTCGATATTATTTGTGAATTTATTGGATATTTGATATTATTTTGGGTAGAAAAATTTGTTTTTATACATTTTTCGACTCATTGAGTTCGTTACTCTTATAGTTTTCCTAACATATTTCGATTTTTTTCAAAAAAAGTGTTTTTAACAAAATTCGATTTTGAAATTTTGAGGTTTTGGAATTGAATTTTGTTCAGTTTTTCATTAAGAATTTTATGGTGGTTTCAGTTTTCATTTATGTTGAGTCGTTTTGAAAAATTTGCCAGGTTAATAACGAAAATATGTTATTAATATGTTATTAAGATCGGTATCTTATTAACTAGCATTTTTGGGTTAATTTTTCAAATGTTCTATCGAAGCTTCAAACTGAAACCACCACAAAATTCTTCGTGAGAAACTAACCAAAATCCGAATTTAAAACCCCAGAATTTCAAAATCGAATGTTGTTGAAAAACACTTTTTCTTCAAAAAATCAAAATATGTTAGGAAAACTATAGTTACTCTTGTTTGCTGCACGAATTTGATTTAGTTTTTAATTATTTAGTTTTTTTTTCTCTTTTTCATTTCGCATCGTCTGATTGAGTGTGGTTACGTCGTCGTGCTGTGTTCAACTGTGCGGAGGAACATTTTCATGCTTTATCGGGCTGCTGATTTGAGAAATATTGGTAAGAGGTTTCATAATTAGTGCCATCCGAGTCAAAATTTAGTGAATTTGTTGTCATCATTTAATATTTTACGTGATCAACGCAGTGACATTCACTATTGCAAAGTGTTAGTCAAAAAAGTCATCGGGCAAACAAACGAACAGGTGTTTTGTTAATTATCGCAATTTTTTAATGTGTCGCGTTTTGATTTAAATATTTTGAAAGAGTCGTTTGAGAAAAATACAATCGTTTGCTTAATTAAATTCGCGAATTTTGATAATTACATTAACTTTGGAAACATCGTTTTGCCACATAACCTGACTTTGTTAAATAGAGTAAATAGTCAATCGCGTGTTAAATCTACGGTTAGTTTCTCGTCGTTGGTTAATATTAAAGTCAATAATGATGTTGTTTCATGTGATTCTAGCTCAATCGATCAAAATCTCCGACTCAATGATTTTGCATGTCGTCAACCTGTGGCTGCCGTTGTGTCAGTTTCGGGTGAACGTTCACATCAGGTGCCGTTTGTACGGCAGCCTGTTGTTCGCGTACGTGATTGCATGCTGAATCTAAAATCTATCTTGGCGAGTGAGAATGTAACATTGAATATTGATGATGTGCATTTGATTAATCGTAATAAGTGTCCGAATAAAAGTAAATCGATAAATATTCTTAATAAATTCAGAGGTGATTTCAACTTTGTCAGTGTCAATGTGCAATGTGCAGTGACGCTTGTCATCTTGATGAACTGAGGTCACTTCTGGGTGGAAATTTGAATGTTAATTTGATCGCGGTTTCTGAAACCTGGCTTCGTTCCAGTAATACAAATAAATCCATCGAAATTCCGTGTTACAAAATCATTCGTGCCGATCGTAAATCGAAATCTGGTGATAGGAACAAGGGTGGTGGCGTTGCGATTTATGTTTTGAAAAATCTCAAAACAAAAGTGATTTTATATTCGTCCAGTGATAATGCCCAAATTGAAAACGTTGAATTCTTGTTTGTTGAAATTTTTACTCGAAAATCAAAAATTATTTTTGGTATTGTTTATCGTGCACCGCGATGCAATGCTGAAAATACGCGTAAACTCTTTGAATTAATAAGCGCCAATTTTTCACACGAGCAAAACGTTATAATTAGTGGTGACTTTAACATTAATCTTTTAAATAACTCAAGTCTAGCGTCCGTTCTAAACACTAATTTTGATTTAAATTTTAATTTGGTTAATGATATTTGTCCCACACATTGGTGGTCGGGAAAAATACCATCGAAAATTGATTTAATTTTTACAAATAACCTCGAGCGCCTTAAATTCTTCGGGCATTTTCCATCGGATATTTCTATTCATGACTTGCTAATGTGTTCATACAATACCAAGACTGAAAAAGTTGATAAAAACATTGTCATCAGTGGTAGAAAATTTGATAATATCAATGCCAACGAATTGATTGATCGCATTGAATCGTTGAATTGGAACTTTAATCGTCATCAAACTGTTGATGATATGATTACAACACTAAATGACAATGTTCGTGAACTCCTTGATCGCTTCGCACCACTAAAATCGCGTCGTGTTTGTCATGCTCCCAAGCACTGGTTTAATAATGACATTAAACGTACCATGGATGATAGAAAAACTGCATACGATAATTGTAAGAAAGACAATTCTCGTAATGCTGATACGCATCAACGGTTGATTGACATCTATAAGGAAAAAGCCAATAGAGTCAAGTCACTGATTAACAGTAGGTAGTAAAAAGAAGTCGACAATTGAGAGTTTTAATAACGCCAATTCCATTCGTTCTAAATGGAGTGTTTGAGTCACTTGGTTGTTGCAAAACTAGCAAGGATGACAGAAATGATTCTGAAATCCTCGATAATTTCAATCTAGATGACATCAATGGTTTCTTTGCGTCAATTCACGCTTCTCACGGGGCCGATTTGGGCAATTTGTCACTTCCCACTAATATTATTTCTAATTTCTCATTTCACGAAATTGTTGAAATTATAAAATCATAGTAAACTGTTATAGTGATTAAATGAATTCTGTCAATAAAATGATTCATTCTATGTCAAACATTCAAACTACAAAGTTTACTTTAAATCTCTCTCTAACATTGGTTATGGGCCACTTTGGTATTTAAGGGAAAAACCAGTTAATATCTAAATACCAAGAGAAAGATAGTTAAAAGTTATTTTGACGAATCAAAAATAAATAAGGGAAAATCCGAACAAAATCAAAATGGAAAGGATTCCAAAAATTGAAAAACTCAATAATACTAATTATTTCACTTGGAAGTTTAAACTTGAACTTCTTTTGATCAATGAAGATTTATGGAGCGTTATTACTGAGGAACAACCAAGTACTACTGCCCGATTACGTGAATGGCAAAGAAAAGATGACAAAGTACGTACAACTATTGGTCTACTAGTTGAGGATTCGCAATTAGTTCATATCAGGGCAAAAAGGACAGCTTTAGAGACATGGAACAGTTTAAAAGCAGTACATGAAAAGCATACTCTGACAAATCGAATATCAATTTACAAGAGAATTGCTTTAACCCGCATGAACGAAAGCGACAATATGGAAGAACATTTGAATTGTTTAACTGCATTATTCCAAAAGCTAGAAGACTTGGGTGACATCGGTACTGAAGAATGGAAAATCGGTATTGTATTAGCCAGTCTACCACAATCCTATTCAACGCTTGTTACAGCATTAGAAGCCAGACCAGAAGAAGATTTGAATTGGAGTCTAGTTTATAGCAAATTAATTGATGAATATCAAAGACAACATGAACAAGAGCAAGCACAATTCAAATTGAAAGATGAGAAGGTCATGAAAATATCAAATCAAAAAGAAGTAACATTTTGCTATTTCTGCAAGAAAAATTCGCACAAAATTCAAGATTGCTTCAAACTGAAAAGATATCAGCAATTTGTTGAATTCGAAAAATATCAAAAGGATCAAAATGAAAAGAAAGCTGAAATCGAGAAGATAGAAAATGAAGC